CTGAATATTGATCGCGAATGATAATTAACTAAAATTATAGCTAATCTATATTTGCTTAACCACCTAATTTTTCTTAAATCTAAATCGTATAAATTTTAGGAATCACATAGTTTTAATATGAAATTACAATATATCCCTATTTAGTTTGTAATTACATTAATCCCTGAAAAAGTAAAACAAACTGGATACATAATATGTGTAGCTCGGATAAAAAACTAGCTCGGATACATTATAAAATAAACCGGATACATAATATGTAGCTCGAATACATTAAAAACTATCTCAAATACATTATAAAATAATTTAGAATTAGGAGAGAAATAAGGGATTTTAAAGATTTTTAGAAATAGAAGGAAATATTAGAAATAAGAAAAACATATTTCAATAATTTTTCCTAAATCTAATCCCAAATTTTATACCGAAATAATTGGGGGTCCTAATAAATTTATGGTATTTGCAAAAAGTAGTCCTAACGGAACGAAATAGATTCAACCGTTGCGTATTAAATTTTCAACTTTATCACCAACTGCCCAAGGAACTCTCTGGAAACACCAACGGCTTTTTCCAAATTTATACGTGTCAACTTCTCACTGGTTCTGGTTTCCCTTTTATCTTGTTCGACTAGCAACATAAAACTCCAACTATTACACCAAAGGGGAATAAACTTATCCGCACATGGTGTATACACCAAACTAATGCAATTTTCATTATTATGTGATTTAATGAAGTAAAACATGTGATAATTAATTAAGGTTTAGTAGAATGAAGGCATGAACTATAAATTTAAATACATGACATGCATTTATTGAATTGGTATATACACCGGGTGCGGATAAGTTTTTTTCCCTTTTGTGTAATAGTTGGAGTTTTTTTAAAAAAAAATTAGTTCAGTATGTAAATAAAAAAATATTTGTATATTTACTAGATAAATACTCTGAGAGGTCGAGTGTGGACGGGAGTTAGATGGTAGAGGCAGGTGGGGATGGGGTTTTGCGACGGTGGGTGAACAGAAAGACACAATCAATATGGAATATCATTATTTGAGAAACATATTTTCTTTAATTTCACTAAAATATCATTTTTCTTAAAAATATATATATTTTTAAATTTTTTTGACCAACTAAATTTGTGAAATCCAAAAATACTTAAAAAAGAGTCAATTTTTCTGATGATTTGTCTTGTCTATCTGGTGGTTTCCAAGCAAAAAGTAGTCCTCCACTAGTTGCAATCAAATACATTAAGGACTAGTTTTATTTTTGTTTTTTCTTGTAACGTCAAAATGATGTTTGTTCTAAAGAAGAATCTACTAACTTCATAGAGTACTATAACACAATAAATAAATAATTGGTTTCCCATATCATTTTTACTTATATATATTTTTATATACTAGTGATTTTAACAGGAGTTTTATGTAAGTTCACTGATTATTTCCCAACTTTGTTTTGAAATATTGCCTCTTTTAAAATGTTATGTGTGAAATTCTATGATAACATCCTGAAATTTGAAACTTAGTGATAATAATAATAATAATCCCTAAAGACTTTTTAAAAAGATGGTCGTGTCAAAGTATAAATTTATTATAGAGAGGGAATATAAGTTTTTAAGTGGAATAAAGATGGAAAGAATTAGTTGTGGGGTTGAAGTAGGCAAATAAGTGCTAGCTGTGTAGCACATGATTCTATCGATTTGTCCATTCGAAGATAGGGCTGGAATTATATTTGAATTCGCGCGTTGCAAAACTCTTTTTTAGGGGTGATACTTTCAATAAAAATAGAAGAATCTTAATTATTCCTTCGCAACACACAACTTATGGGGGTGGTTTATCCTTTTAGTAGTCTTTTGACATGATTTAAATGCATTTTTCAAATATTTCTAAGGGGTCATTTGGTCATAGATAAAATTATTTCAAGATTATAATCCTTAGACTAATTTATATTACTCGAGATGGAATAAAATAATATGTGCCAAGTTGGATAACATGCGGTGGGATATCAGCATTAGAGAAATGTTGTATTTTTCTGGCTTAATCCTAATAAAGAATTAGTACCCTGCTAAGTTGACCACATTAATTAATTACTAATTAAACCAAAATTCAACTTTACCCACGCAAAAAAACAAAAAAAAAAAAAAACACAGTTTTGTTTATGTCTTTCAACATATAAACTAATATATTACTAACCAAGATTTTCGTATAATAATCATTTAAACACAGATAAGTACAGAAATGAATTGTATCACTAATGATTGATCAAAGTACAAAACCACATAAACAAAATAATAGAATAAATTGATTATGAGTTAACACAATCAATATATTATTCCTAGTGAAGAGGTGCTACAATATTAAATTAGGAAGTTAGACATAAGTACGAGAACATGCATCCCCTACCACCTCAATTCAATTTATGAAAAAGATACTATATCTTAATATATTGTGTTATACCAAGTTATTAATAACAAATTATTTATGCTAATTATTACAGATTATTTAAAAATATTGTAGATTGTTAGTTTACAAAATTTAATCTTTAAGTTTTATTGTTAAGCTAATCAACATATCAATGTGATCCTACAAATGAAATCTGAGAAGGGCAAGGAGTGTGCACAAACTTTATTCATGCCTTGTGAGAAGTAGAAATGTTTTTGATGAATCATCGCCTCAAGAAAAACGTAAGGTAGTCATGTTGACATTTACTATTACTAAAATACAGTACAATAATAAGTAGTTAGTTTCATGATAATACATTGTATAGTTTTATGATCTATGTTGATACTAATTAAAAGAGGTATTTTTCCCATTAATTTCATTATCTTGGACTAAGGAGTTTATCTTTTTATCTTTGGGATTCAAAGGTAAGTTAAGAGCTAAAATAAGTAGAAACAAATTTAGCTTTAGTAACTCAATCTCATACTTAGATTCTAAGCATGAAATCTTCAAGTACAAAAATTTGTAAAAATTCTTTGATAGCACTCAAATATTCCTTTTACTTCAAGTGAATTTGCCAAGTGGATAACAAAGTTTCAACTTTGTTTGGGAGTTCCTTTCATTAGGGGTAGGTAAAACAATATCAATAAATACTTTTATTTCTAAACTATTTATAGAAAATAAAAAATATGAACTTACTTATTCTTGCCTTAAGAGACTACTAAAATTGATACGACATATATATTAATCCTCTCTTCTCATATATATCACTTTAGACAAACACTTCTCCTTTAAAAATTAGAATATATCTTGTAGATTATTATCTTTCTATCGAATATAAATAAACTAGTTCAGTTAAATAATCAAGACAAATGAAGATGATAAAACTTATACAATTTAAATGATCAGAAAAAATACATATCGACCTATGATTGTACCCAACTTATATATTGTAATCCAGTTTGTATTGTTATCAACATTTATTATCTTTTTTTCCAAAAAAAGAAGAGAGGAAGTTGAAGAAAAAGACGTATAACGGCTAGAATGGTGAGGGCAAAAGAAAGTTCAACCCCACAAAAACAACGCAAATACAGCCCAAACAGATAACCAACCTTCACATGGTCGAGCTGGTTCTGGTCCCATCAAAACACATTAATTATCATAAGAAAAAAAGTTGTGTTTTTGGTCCTTCAATTGTTGACAAATCACAAATGATAATTTTCGTTTGGTAGAGTGTATTAGCATAAACAATGCATGCATTTATTACTAATTCCTTGTTTGATACATGCTATGTATAATTAATGCACACTATATTGTGTATTGATGACTGTATCACTAATTTCTAGGTATTGGTAATGCAAATAGATTTAATACATCTATTAACATAGTTAAAGACCCAATTACACCTCAAAAACATTTTTTTACATCTTTTTTCATTGGAGGATATTTTTATAAATAAATATTTTTATACAATGCATACTTATTTTAATACAAACATTACTAATATATTCTATTAAGTATTATTTTTATACACTCTACCAAACCACGCCTTAATAACAATTGTCTGGTTCCACACAAGTTAGAATAACTATTTATAATTATAAATTGGTCGATTTATATATCCTACTTTTCTTTTGTCTGCTTTTAGAAAATGTTAATTTCTATATTTAACAAACAACTTGATATACTTATGATCATAAAAAATTAAATTGTACATTACACAACATATTTTCCTTCGTACTGCAAGATTTATAAGTCTCATATTTTTTAAATTATAAAATTTCATGCTCGGCCAATTTATTATTAATACACATAAAATGAATGGAATGGAATAATTAATCCAAAATTAATATATATCACAAAATCAAAATTTATTTTGAGAATATATGAGCAACTATCAGACGTTGTTCATTCTTTAATTTCACGCCTTTTAATAGTGAAAGGATATTGGTATCAGACGTGAATCTTAATTGTGAAAATTATACATGAAATAATAAATTATTAATTCAAATTAAATGTTATAGCCATAGTTTATTTTATTTGTAATTCACAATAAACATTCTATTTTTTTGTCATCTAATTCTGTATACAATTAGTCATTTTATACATTTCGATATAAAATGTATAAAATGCGTTTGTGTTTGTATAAAGCGAGAGAAAAATGTATATACAAATAGAAATATAAATACATATATTTTCGTCCTATACACTTATAATTAAACAAATATAGATCTTATTATACAAAGTACAATGTATAAATGAATTTCTACAAAACTGAACAATTTATATAAAATTGGATGTTTGTAGCGAATTTATACAAATTAAAAGCTCCATAGCAAACATAAAATTTGTTATGGAGCGCAATTATACAAACTATAGTTATAACATACAAATATGATTTTTATATTTGCTATATGTGAAAGTTGTTCATCTTAAATAATCGGGCTCCAAATCAATATCAAACTTTAGATGAGAAAAGAAAAAAATAAATTAGAAATGTATTTTTCTTTCAAATTCAAAATTGTATTCCAATAGTATCCTTACCTTATCCATAAAAGCCCTCTCCTATCTCAATAAAAAGCTCACAAAAACCATCACCTTCTCACAAGAGACTCATATTCTTTCCTCTGATAAAAATAAAAAATCAGAAGCAAAAATGTCAAAAGAAGTGATTGAAGAAGGACAAGTTCAACAGCACGGCAAAGACTATGTGGATCCACCACCTGCACCGTTGCTCGATTTTGCTGAACTCAAACTGTGGTCTTTCCACAGAGCTCTAATTGCTGAGTTCATTGCTACTCTGCTTTTCCTCTACGTCACCGTCGCCACTGTCATCGGACACAATAAGTTGAACGGTGCTGATAAATGTGACGGAGTTGGTATTCTCGGTATCGCTTGGGCTTTTGGAGGCATGATTTTTGTACTTGTCTACTGCACTGCCGGTATCTCTGGTGAGCACATACATACTCTGCCCAGATCTAGAATTTTGAGTTAGTTATGTGAAATTGAACTAAAATGTCATTACTAAATAATAAAACTCTTTTGTGTGTTGTAGGTGGACATATTAACCCAGCAGTGACATTTGGGTTGTTTTTAGCAAGGAAAGTGTCATTAGTAAGGGCAGTGGGATATATAATTGCACAATGTTTAGGTGCAATTTGTGGAGTTGGTTTTGTCAAGGCATTCATGAAGCACCCATACAACGCATTCGGTGGTGGTGCTAATTTTGTGCAATCTGGTTACAGTAATGGCACTGCTTTGGGTGCTGAAATTATTGGTACTTTTGTCCTTGTTTACACTGTTTTCTCTGCTACTGACCCTAAGAGAAGCGCCCGGGATTCCCATATCCCTGTAAGTACCTTTCTTATTCAAATTCGTACCTAGTGATATCAGAATTTTTGATATGGTTGGATGTTTAAAGGTGTTGGCTCCATTACCAATTGGGTTTGCTGTATTCATGGTTCATTTGGCTACAATTCCTATTACTGGAACTGGTATCAACCCTGCTAGGAGCTTTGGAGCTGCTGTTATTGCCGACAATAAAAATGTCTGGGATGATCAGGTAAGTGATGACTAGTTATGTATGTGATGCCTATTTTCAATTTAATGGTGAACGACAACGACTATTTAGGTTAATTCTTCTTTCTTTCTTTCGTATGTATGTTGATAATAATAAAATGTGCAGTGGATCTTTTGGGTTGGACCATTTGTGGGAGCATTGTTAGCAGCAGCATATCACCAATACATTTTGAGAGCTGCAGCTATTAAGGCCTTGGGTTCTTTCCGCAGCAACGCCACCAATTAAACCAACAACTAGAACATTCATTTGATACTTTGTTTATTTAATTTAATTCAATCTGTGTGTAAAAGAGGAATGTATGGATGGAACTCTTTAATTATGTTGTATGTATGTATTGCTTATGCTAGTGTTTAATCTTAGCCTTGGATCTGTATTTATTTGTATCATCCTTATTAGTATTGGTGATGGTGATATTTTTCATTTCACTTGTATTCCTCCCTCTCTTTTTTTACATTATGATACTGTTCAAAATAAATTTAAAATTAGTACTAGTAGTTGTTGTTTACGTTATGTTGAGACAACACGTTTGCTATAAACATCAAAAGCTTACAAAGACAACACTGCTCTTTGTAATATCCGAATATCACTTTCTTAGACCATCTCCAATCCATTTCTATTTTACTCTCCATTTGGAGAGTAAAATAAAAAATGGGCACTCCAAATCACCCTCTAATTCTTCAAATTTAGAGATGGAGAATTACTATTCACACTCTTTCATTATTTTATTATTATTTCTATTTACTTTCTAATTAACATATTATTTTACATATAATTCCATTAATTAAATATCTAATATTCATCATTCTTTTTTAAATGTAATATAATATTTTTAAAAATATTATTTAATATATACTATTTTAATTTCAAATTAATAGTATTTTTTTTTCTAATTTTCGTGAATAATAAAATTTTATTTTATTATTAATTTTAATTATAAAGAATACGCAAAATTAAAATGGCAAGATGAAAAAAATTA